AAAATAACAATTAAAATACGAATTGCTTATCTTCCGCACGCTTAATTCTAACCTACAAATATTTTCAGTTTGGATTATTTTTTTTATAATTTTACATAAGTAAAATTTATAATATAGTAGGTAAGGAATGAACAAATATACTATGAACAGTAAAATTACTATAAACAATCATGAAAGTTAAATTTTATCCAGCTTCATCGTACTGCACATGAGCTAATACAGGGTAGCGCACCTCATTCGCGGTTGATTATACGAAAATGGAAAGATGTAGAAACAAAATATTTTATGGGTATATGCAGGGAGGCAATGTGCACAATTCAAAAAATGATTTTGAAATATACAGAGTGTTTCAGAACTAAGATCCATACCAAAGTTATATTTTTATAACTTTGGTATGGTTCTTGGATCCAAAAAAAGACATTTATTGTAAGGGTTCTTGAGATATCTAAAGATATTTGAATATGCATGCTACAATATAAGAGATTATTAACACCCTGTATATTACTTTTCAGAATTAATTCTTGTGCTGAGTTTAAAGGTAGAGAAATAAACTTGACTGAAAAATGTTATTGCTTCCTTAAATTTATACAGGGGTACCAAAAATTGCTGATCTATTGGATCTATTTTTTATAAAAACTTTGTTTTTTCAAATGCAACACCCAGTATTTTTTTAAATAAATCGAAGCAGATTCAAATACTCTTTCAAACAATATTAGGGTTTCCTATACCTATCTAACTCAGATTTTGAATAAAAAGTGATTTTTAAATAAAATAGCAATCAAGATGGCTAGTGTCGCCATGGCAATTTTCTAGTGACAGTTAGTAACTATTTTGGTATAGTTTACGGACATTATTATTTATAATTTATAACAGTTTACTTATTATTCATTATTTTATCATGAAAAAGTAGTATCTGCTGGCGGAACGAATGAATATGTTACTAGGGATTTTATTTTGTGAGGAAAATTGCTTCTTGGCCCCAAGGGCTTATGCTTAAAGATATCTAAATAGGGATATTCCTGATAAGCGTTTCTTTGAAAAACTACTTGTCCTATCTTCGCTGGTATGTGTGGTTTATAAAAACCCATTAGGCAGAAACCTGTCGTTGGAAGTGAAGAAAATGTATTTGCCTTAATTGGCTCTTTTATAGAAAACCCATATATCTACAAGTGATGGTAAAATAAATCTAAGAACTACTTCTTCGTTTTTCTTGTATAGAATAATAAATACATATTTAGCAAATATTATTTATTAAACTATTGTAGGTAACCAATTAGGGGTTAACTAAATTAGGTGTAGGGGTACCAATTTTTAGTACCCCTGTATATATTAACCAAAGCAATCCAATTTTTCAGTAAAGTTTATTTCTTTGGCTTAAAGGTCAGCACAAGAATTAATTCTGAAAAGCAATGTAGAGGGTGTTGACAATCTTTTTTATTATAGCATGCATATTTAAATATCTTTAAATATCTGAAAAAACAAAGCTTGTAAACATATTAAACCTTTAGAATAATACGTTATTTTATGTTCTAGAATCCAAAAATGAAATAAAATAACGGGTGTTCCATAAGAAAAAATATAACTTTGGTATATATCTTAGTTCTGATTCTGACACACCCTGTACATTTAAAAATAATTTTAAATTATGCACATTGTCTTCCCACTCATAAAATATTTTGTTTCTACATCTTTCCGTTTTTGTATAATCAACCGAGGCGAATCAGGTGCGCCACCCTGTATATATTTCTTATTTTATCTGGCTATATGAACTCACAAATAAGAATTCCTTATTTCTTATTTTATTTTATTCTTAGTTTATATTATTTAGCTGTATGAACCCGCCATTCCATTACAAAATATACAACTTTGATGTGTCATTTTTTGGGGACCTTTTTTTATTAGATTTTGACTAAATTTGGGTCATCTGCAACGTTTTTTTTTTTTCTAAAATGCTTTAATTATTATTGGGATATATGCCTTTGAGTGCTATAAAAAAAAGTAACAAATTAGAAGGCAGCTTTATCTGACAAGTAGGTACCTGAAATTACTAGCTCAGTCTAAACATGAGCAAATAAAAGTTTAAAAAGTAAGAATTCAAGACTTAAGATTTTTAAGTATATAAAATCTATAACTCTTACAATTAGGCACTAAATTATTTCCTTATTAGTACTACTGTTATTAATGTCAAATTAAATGTCTATATTTTCATCCCAGTCTAATAATATACAGTATGTCCACGGATTGTCTTAACTATACTTGTAAACTTGTTTATTTTCGATTTTTCGAAAAAAAAGTAATTCTTCATAACTTTTTTTGCTTGTTGCTTGTTATTTAAATATGATTGAAGTTACGAAATATAAACTTTAATATACAATTTTTTTTGTATTGATTTTTTCTCACAGTTAATTAAAAAAATCCGTTTTAAGTTTATTTTTAATATCAAATATCTTAGTAACTAAAACTCGTATAAAAAAAATTATTTGGCATTTCAAATTGTTTTTCAATCCTCTTTCAGGCTTCGGTGAACTATCCTGACACGATTTTTCCTAGAAAATGAAGCTTATACCTTAAAATGAATTTCTTGGATTATTTGACTAAAATCTGATGTGGAAAAACACGTTTCACATAAAAAAAACATTCTTAAAAATGTTGTTATTTTATTTTTATAATGAAAGAGTCGCGGACTTGTTTATATCCGTTTCTATGTTTACGCTGACAGTAGTGAAGGTCGAGTTTTGACAAATATTGCGAATTGATACATGGTTGTCAGATCAGCTAGTAAATTATCTGGAAATTCATGCATCTTTTTTTTAGGGAAAAAAATGACGTCATATGTTTTAAAATGTTTGTTTTAATATGAACTAGGGTAAGCTATCACTTTAGTCTACTCAGAGACTTATCAACAAAAATTGAACGCTGTCTAGTAGCTTATTCGTTAGTGTGGATTATTTTAAAGCAATTTCTGAAATAAAATTTGCGGATTTTTCAGGTTCTAGGAAAATATAAGTTTTTTAAATATATACTATTTTTCGACGCGTAATCAATGAAGTTTTGTCATTAGGAACAATTAGGTTAGCCTGGTTATTTGGAGGGTGTTAATGCATTGGTTAGCCTGGTTATTTGGAGGGTGTTAATGCATTGATTAGCCTGGTTATTTGGAGGGTGTTAATGCATTGGTTAGACTGATTATTTGGGGGGTGTTAATGAATTGGTTAGGTGGATATTGGGTGGGGTTGGTTGCTTAAGCGTGTTTTGATTGCTTTTGTTTCATTCTTTTGTTGTTTTTTTTTTTTAGTTTTCCCATTCACACATTACCAAAGCATTTTTATTATTAAAAATGACTATTTTTTCAAAATAAAATAAAAAACAGAAAAAGAAAATTCAGTGGAACTGGCAACATTGCTTTTCCTTCTGACGCTGTCATGTTAAATCAAGTGTGAAAATTCTCGAATAGATAAATGAAACAAGTTTAGATTAATACCATGGCTGAGAAACTTAAATGGAAATGACGGTTCATTAAAAATAGTTTTTCCTCCAAGATGCAGAGGCGCAAAATATTAAAATTGTCAATATTAACAATGCAAATGTCAATATCTGACAATAATAAAATTTGATTTTTAACTGTCACTCAGAGACGCTTTTGTTGTGATTTTACGGTTTGATTTCGTTTTGATTTGTCGAATTATTGTAAAATTAAATTCCTTCAGAGTTTTTGCCAGTATTCTGTTTTAGAGAATGTTTTTTAAAAATGGTGGGACAATTTGTGTTTTGTATAGACTCTTAATTATTTTTTATCATGGAGTTTAATTGTTGTACACCTGGTTTCGAAGGATACAATGGTAAGTAAATTAAACATATCTACTTACAGTTATAGATTTTTTTAAATTAGTACTGCTAATAAATGCCACCTGCTGAGCAGTTATTTAATTTTATTACGGTGCATGTAAGGAATTAAGGACGCGCGTTGTGTTATATTAGCATGATCAGCAGATGATTACATCTAATTTAATTTGTTTTTATTATTTCAGGTCTCAAACGGAAACAAACTGGGAATCTTGCCTACACCAAAATTATATAGCCGTTTCAATTCACTTCAAAGGGAGGAAAATTATGTAAAACTGCCTGCTATTTGCTGAAAACCGCCAAATATTAAATTATAACTGTAACAACATAATATATATTATTTCTAGTCTTTTTAATATATTTTTTAATTAATATCCGACATATAAGAACACTTTGTATGCTTTTAATTCAGTTGATTTATCGTTTATAATATGTTCGACCTAATTAAAAGCACACAAAGTGTTCTTACATGTATGTCTAAATTTATTTTAAATTAACTAAAACAACCCCCCTTCCCCGCACCCCTCTCATCCATTAGTATTTCTTCCTCCATCTACCAGAGGCGCCCTTGTATAATAAAATTGAAATGTATTATAAGTTGCCTATCTATTTAATAGTATAAGTCTTTTATCTATGATTAATACGAAGTAATAATAAGTTACGAAGAATGACTTTTTTTCGAAAAATCGAAAATAAACAAGTTTACAAGTATAGTTAAGACAATCCGTGGACACACTGTATAATTTATATTCAAATTTTAAATAAAATTTTACCACTTCCGTTAAAAGAAGTACAAATAAAAATAAATACCTAATCCTGACAATTGAAAAATTATTTTAGAATTTCAAAAATTAAAAAGCAAAAAAAGTTTAAAACCAGATAACAATTTTGACAGGAAATGATGAAACAACAATCAATATTACCCCCCAAGTGTTCTTATCTAAACAACAGGAAATATTCAATTTTCTCTTAGAATATTATCTGAAGTTTTGATATACCTACAAGATAATTACTCAAGAATGAATAAAATAAGTACCTATATACCTAGTATAAGATCAAAATGCAAATATTAGAGAATTTGAAGTATTCAGACCAGACAAAAACCACTTAAAGCATAAAATTCTTAAAGATATTTGTTAAATAAATACTTGTTTTACCTTTGTATCCAAAGTAAATCTATGATAAATGCCTGCAGGAACAATTAATAAATCACCAGGAACAACATGGACTCTAATCCATTGATCATTATTATCTCTAATGTCAAAATATCCAGAGCCTTCCACACATAAACGAATTTCCTCATCAGTATGCAAATGTTCGGAATAAAATATTTGAAGTTTCTCTTCATAATTGGGCAAGCGATCAGGTGAAATTGTTATTTCATCTTCATATGTATATCCTCGATCTGATTTAATTTTGTCCAAAACACCATCAGATTTTAGAGTATCAATGTTGATCTAAAAACATTGGTATTTGTTTCAAATCAAAGAATAAAAAATACCAATCATATTTACCTTGTAATATTCTACACCTGATATTTCAAATAAATCATCCAGAGATACATATTCAGGAGGACTTTTGTGGTGTTCTTCCCTTTTATCGTAAGACTCATTATTCATATACCAAGCTTGAACCATCTTGACTGCGAAGTTACAACTAAACAGGACCTACTATACAAAAGTTCTAAAATATAATGTGTATCTGGATGTTATCACAAGTACTCTTACTTGATAATTATTCTATCTTCTATCAATTTCTGTTTAGACATATCTAAGGCGTAGAAAAATACCTACCAAGTAAATATAATGATAAAATTACGAAGCTATATCTTCGGGCCACTCCGCACATATCCGGCTATAATTATTTTTGAAACATTATATTTGATATACCTTATAATATTTTCATAAGCTTTGTGACTGTGAAAAACAAGCCGTGAAAGCAAACCAAACCAAGGTCAAAAACTACTAGAGGTGGGTTGTGAAATCGCAGTCCGCTACTTTGTCACAGCTCCACCAACGTCGCAGTATGTGACTGCTCCAGTTCCAAGAAAATCGCAGTGACATTTCGGAGCAGTTTACAAGTTTAGGACATCTGCGCTCGTGAGTAGCAATAGGAGCAATAGCAGGCAATAGTGTAAATTCTGAAAATGCTCCTAGCCCGTCGCCCGGTCAGACTGTTCCAGTCACAGTCGTCGCAGGTCGCAGTCGACTGGAGCATAGTATATTGAGTATATTCTGTGTACTGGAGCTGTTGGGAGTTTGGGAACGGGAAACGTAGCAGCGTTCGCTTTTTCTTTCATGAATCTAAATAAGATATTTATGTATTATATATTAATCACAAACAGATGTTTTTGACAAAGGTAATTTTTAACTTGTTAGTATGTTTATTTGTTAGTTAATTTTGTATCTGTGTTTTGTTGTATATCCTAAATCTTTTATTTGATCTTATACATTCATATAAGTTTTATTATTTATATCTATTTTTAAGGTCTGATGATGGCTAAATAGCCGAAACCGGTCACTAATAAAGATTTTTTTGACAGTTTCGACTTTGAATTGAATATAACATTAAGTTTTTACCATGGGCCACCACTCTGTGAAAATGAACAGACTCTTTAAGATATTTATAGCAAAGTGCTTGGTACTTAGAAACACTCAAATTCTTCTGAATAGACTAAAAAAATATAGCAACATCTATCAAACTAAGACATCAGTATAGTACCGTACAGCCGCGATTTTAAGAGCTCTAGGGGCCCGTAGTTCGGAAAAGTTCGAATCTTGTTCGCAAGGGCCCGGGAGGCTTGGGGCCCGTCGGTGACTTACCCCGATTGCACAGACGTTAAAATCGCCACTACTGATCGAAATAAAAAACGGCGTCCAGTTGGCTTGGAAATGACAATCGATAACATTCCCCATAAATTTTACATATAAAATGCCAGCAATCTTCATTTCATAGCTATCGCTGACGCCGTTTTTTCGATCATACGATATAAATAAATAAAAACTAGACGATGATGTTGCCTATCATAATCACACCTATAGTCCTGTACTTTTTTAGTAAATGCAACGAACGGTGCCGAACACCGAGTGCGATTTTTCGGAGCAATTAACCTATAAAACTACATTTTTAATTTATAGGTTAATTGCTCCGAAAAATCGCTGCTACTTGTCACAGTCCTTTTATTGGAGCAGTCGCAGAGCGTAGCAGCTCCACAAAAATCGCAGACTGGCCCACCTCTAAAAACTACATAACACATAAAAGGCAAATCCAACTAGCAGTGGTGCCAGATTGATTCGAGAGAAATTCGTGAGATTGGTCATTAGAAATCGTGAGAAAGCATGAGATGTCAGAAAAGCGCCAATTTGAAAGGAAATATAGGAAAATATATACAGAGTGAGTCTTATATAAGCGCAAATATTTTTAGTGGTAGTATATTTTGACCCCAAAAACACGTCTGAGTTTTTTTCGTAAAAGAAAAAATTGAAAATTTGGAATTTTTCGAAAAAAAATTGGAGAATTTTTAAATTTTTAGTTAACCAAAAATATATTTTTTTAAATTTTCAAATTGGAATAACTGGTTTTTTTTGGAGTTCAAAAACAGTAAAGAGAAAATATGTCTCTTTCATCGAAATAGACCAACCCTGAAAATATGTGCATTTAGCGAGAGATTTAGACGCATCCTGTATATACATATTTAATTTTTAATTGTTAAATAAGTTTCAATATTAGAATAATAAAAAAGAATCTATGAATTTGGACAGTTTTATTTTCTTAATTTCTGTATAATAGACTTTCAGTCTGAAGTGTCTTAACTGAAAGATAACAGATATATAAATGTCTTTTTATATCTCTAAATAAAATTCATAAAATAAAAGTGTCTTAACTGAAAGGGTAAAAATTTCCGTTATGAAATATTGTACTGAAAAACCACTGATGAATAGCAGGCTTCCCGAATTTGAAAGACATGGAATTTACGACGTTATCGTGTTGTCGGGATTGGAGATTTTACTTATTCATTTACCATCGCAGTATTTAGGTATTAATGGAAAATTCAAAAATATTTTAAATACTTTATTTTATATGGGTTGAAGCCTGGCGCATCCGCCACAACATCGACATCAGGAAAAAAATACTTTTTTTTAATTAAATGAAAAACAAAAATTCCGGCGACGACAGATTTTAGAAGAGCCAATTAGCTATCTTTTAGTAAAAAAAAGCAACTTTCTAGAGCAAGTCGTTACTTCAGTAGAGACGACACAGATAAACATTAGCATTTTATATATGTAGATATATAGATATATAGATATATAGATTAGAGCATTATTTAACAAGCTCATGAATAGGAACTAGGTGCCCGGTGGCGTAGAGGTACAGCTCTCGTATACCAATCTAAAGGTTGTGGGTTCGAATCCTTACACCCGGCATTTCATCAGCCGACTATTTTTATTAAAATAAAAATAGTTTGGGTATCGAGGTCGATTCAGCCTTAAATGAGTAATTTTACAATCATTCACAAGTAAATTCACAATCCTGAGGTAATAATATAGACGGTTGAAGCGTAGTCCTAGCCAGTGGCGGATACAGAGGTGGGGCCATGAGGCCAAGCCCCCCATAAAATCTATAAGTTGGGTTAAATATTAGGCTTTTGGGTTAAAAACTGTGATCTAAAAAACATATACTACATTACGTTTTATTTGGGCCCTCCCTAAAATAAATTCCTGTATCCGCTCCTGATGCTAGCCACATTACCTTCGTTGTATACCGAACGGCTCTAGTATGGCAAGCTGTACCTTGCTACTCCCAAGGCATTAAACGCTACATACGGGAGCTATTATTATTTATGAATAGGAACTTCGCATTTTAGTTAACTCCGATATTTTAATATTTCTGAAAAAAGTATTTTTTAATTGGTAAAACGTAAAAAATTGTGAGATTCTGAGCACGTAGCGTGAAATCCTGAGATTTGATACAAAATCGTGAGATCTGGCAGCCTTGTTAAGTAGCATCACTAGCGTAGGCTAGCGTCTACGTCAGTAGTTCCCAAACTTATTTTTCTCGTGGACCACTTTCAAAATTTTACTGGTTTCGGTGGACCCCCTGCTGCTACATTTCTACCACATTCTTAAAGTCGCCAAAAAATAAAAATTGTGTCACTTCTGAGTTCTGTCCCTATATTCCGATATGTAAAATAAAAACGAAAAATGGTACATTTTATATCACTTTATTTATTAAAAGAATAGAATTACAAGAAAAAATATTAAGGTAATATAGGTTCAGGTCATAATTTTAATTAATGGGAAGGATGTATCTGATGGAGTGTCAGCAAACGATCAATGTTTGGCTTTATTTTTGTGAGCAATAACCGCAAATCCCCGCTCTGTGATGTTTAATTTGCTCCTTTTTTTGTTAAGAGGTTTGTAACGGCACTAAAACTCCTTTCGACAAGGTATGACGAGGGAAAAGCTATTAAAAATTTCCTTGCGATTTCCCACAGTCCAGGATATTTTTCGGGTATTTCTGCTTGCAGCCAAAATGTTGGGTAGCCTTTTCTAAATTTCACCTTCAGCTCCTCATTAGTGCTTAGCTCGAGCAGCTCCTCTTGTAATACAACATTGGCCACTTCCGTTTCATCAAATGGATTTATGATCCATGGTGGTATATCCATCGTCAGTATATCTTCAAACCTGGTTTTGAAGTCATCATGCAGAGCACTTAAATGTTGACTGTAGGTATGGATATCCTCATCAATACATTCTACCTGCGACAAGTTTGGAAATTGAGAGAATTCGCGCCGACTAATGTTTTGCTTCATAAATTTCAATTTCCCAAGAAAAGCCGAAATTATCCCCTTTGTTTTTATTAAATTCAGGCTGTCCCCTTGTAACTGCAAGTTAATATCATTAAATTTTTTAAACAAATCTGTCAAATACGCAATGTCTGCTTTGAATTTGATCAAGTTTTCTTTTAAATCTGGATCTCTACTTTCTAAGAACTCTAATATGGAATCGAAAACAGAGTAAAATCTCGTTAAGCATGCACCTTTCGACAACCAGCGTACTTCAGTATGTAAGAGCAGTCGTTGGAAGTCTTCATCATTTTCGTCGCACAATTGAGCAAATAAACGCGTATTCAATGCATTGCTTCTGATTTTGTTGACAGCTTTTATTACAAAATGAAGAGATTGGTTCAACCTGTCACTTAAATGTTTTGCCACAAGATGTTGTCGGTGGATTACGCAATGAATAGCTGTAAGTCCTGGTATAATTCTTTTGAGATGACTTATAAACCCACGATATCGCCCGACCATTGCAGGAGCTCCGTCTGTTGCCACTGAAATAATGTTTGTAAATGGGATCGATTTTTCCGTAAAAAAATTACTCAGGACATTAAATATTGATTCGCCTTTAGTGTCAGTCTCCAAAGTTCTGGCAAATAGCAATTCTTCGTGAATTTCTTCCTCAACAATAAATCGGACATATGCCAATAGTAATGCTTCATTACTGGGTAACGTTGACTCGTCCAGTTGTATAGAAAAATGAGTTTTTTGCAGATGATTGCACAAAAAGCTTTCGATATCAGAGCTCATTTCATCAATGCGTCTTTGTACAGTATTGTTACTTAATGGAATTCTTTTTAGTACGTCAAATGGAGATTTGTGCAAAACAGTTTTTAAAACCTCTTCAACAGCGGGTAAAATTAATTGTTCTCCGATAGTGTGCGGTTTTCCAGATTTTGCTATAAGTAATGAGATATTGTAAGATGCCCGCAAGCCATCATCGTTACTTTGAGATGTTGAAGCGAACATACTGTGCATGGTGGGTCTCTTTCCATATTTTTCTTTCAATGTTTGAAAATATTTTAAATCTTTACCTATTTTATCAGTATGACACCTTTTTAGATGATCTTCGAGCTTTGATGGTTTCATAGAGTCATTGCTCA